GCTTCAGCTCCTCCCCTCGAGCCCCCACCTCATTGGCCACAGGCGCTTGCGCACAGCAGCCGAGCTTAAGTCGCTGACGGCCATTCCAGCCCCGAGGCTGGAATCCTGAGAATGCTCAAAATCTATCTCTGAAAACACAGGTAGAGGTCTGGGGAGAGGAGGACCATTCGATCCTACAGTAGGACATTTTGCCAGGTCCTTTACTGAGTTTGTTGAGTGTGTTCACTCATTTAATCCTTACAACAGCTTTATGTAGGTGGTAGAAACTGTTAGCTCCATTTTTACAGATGAGGAAAACGGCCCCCCAGAGAGGTTAAGTGACTTGTACAATGTCGCCCAGCTAGTAATTATTGGCAGTGCCCAAAGTTCTGAAATTTAAACATAGTTCAAGGTCTTGAGGGTTTCTTCTCATCTGCATTTTAAGCACATCTTAACCCCCTCCTCTTCCAACCATCTTCCTATTGACCTCTTCCTCTTAAATTAAATTTTACCTACTCTAACTCTACACCTTACATCCTGTTTATTCCTCAGCCCGCTCTTAATTGGACTACCCCCCTGCATGCTACTAAAACTAGGCCTGCCAAAGTCAATGGTGATTGTCATGTAACAACATCCAATGGACAAATGCAGTGGAATTTAAGATGCTCAACTTCACTCATACTAAAAGAAATGCCTATAGAAACTACTAAGATGCTGCTTTTCATCTTTGAGGGTGGTGAATATAAAAACGTTTGATAATGCTCTATATTGGCAGGTTGCCCAGAAATAGACATTCTCATAAGTTGTCTGTAGAAGTTAAATTGGAATAACCTCTGTAGAGGGCAATTTGGCAAAATCTAGCAAACTAACAAATCCATATACTGTATGGCTCAGCATTTACACTTATAGGAATTTATCTTACAGATAAATTCATACATGTGCTAAAAGATGTGTGTATAAGATGATTCACAGTAGCGCTGTTTATAGTAAGAAAGAGTGGACACTCTCAAAGTGCTCATTACTGGTGATCTGTTCAAATAAACCCTGACACAGCTACAAAATGGAGTACTGTACAATTGTCATTAATAATATGGAGATACGGGCCCTGGCCGGGTAGCTCAGTTGGTTAGAGCATCATCCCTATGATAAGGTTGCGGGTTCGATCCCCAGTCAGGGCACATACAAGAATCAACCAATAAGTGCATGAATAAATGGAACAACAAATTAATGTTCCTCTCTCTCTCTTCCTCTCTCTCTCAAATGAATAAAAAAATAATATGGAGCTATGGGATGATCACCAAGACATTTAGTTAAGACATGCAAGGTGCCAAAATGTGTGGGGATTGTGTACAAAGAGAAGGGAAGGATTATATCATAATTATAGAAAGAATAACTAACATTTTAAGTTGTGGCTGCTCTGTGTCAAGTACTGTTCTGAGAGCTTACTTATATCACTAATTTAAATGCTCACAGCAACCCTATGAGGCAGGTACTGCTACTATATTCATTTTACAGGTGAATAAACTAAAGTGCAGAGAAGTGAAAGAATTTTCCGAAGGTCACACAGCTGGTAAGTGGTGAAACTAAGATTTGAACCCAGGAAGTCTGGCTCCAGCATCTGTTACTCTTGGCCACTAACTTGTCAGTACAGCATCTTATACATGTATAAAAGATATCTGATAACACTGGTTGCCTCTAGAGGGAAGGGGCATATGTCAATGTATATCCCTTTATACCTTTTGAATTTTGAATCATTTGAATGTATACCTATTTTTTAAAACACACACACTCAAATTCACAGAAATATGTAATGGATACTTCTCAGTTATTGTCTTATAGGGGGAAGAGCGTGGGTCTTGACATTGAATTGCTTGAATTTAAACCCCACCTCTAGCCTGGCCGGGCGTGGCTCAGCGGTTGAGGGTCAACCTGGGATGCAGGTGATCAGGGTTCGATTCCCGGTCAGGGCACATGCCCGGGTTGCAGGCTCGATCAATGACTCTCTCATCATGGATGTTTCTATCTCTCTCTCCCTCTCCTTTCCTTTCTCTGAAATCAATAAAGATATATTTTAAAAAAAAGTTATAAACCCCACCTCTAATATTTATCCTGTATGACTTTGGACATGTAAGATACTTAAAATGATACCTATAGGGTTGTTGCACTGATTAAACAAGATAATCATTGTAATGTATTTTGCACAGGGCCAAATAAAGGGTTCATTTTACCTCCTACACATCTCTGGAATCCACTCACTTCTCTCCATCTCCCCTGCCACCTCCCCTGGCTAAGGCAACCATTGTTCCTGCCAATTTAGCATCTCCAGTCTCTTTCCCTTCCCTTCTGTTTTCAGCAGAGCTATCAGAACATCTATTTAAAATGCAAAGTTAACTGTCACTACTCAGCTCAAATCCTTCCCATGGCTCCCCACTGCTTTTAGGAAAAGTCCTAGGGTTTGGGACCTGGCATTGAAAGGATCTGCATCATCTGGCCTCAGATGGCCTCTCCCACCTCACCCCTTAACAGTCTTCTTTTGCTCTCTGTATCCTGCCTAGGAGTTGCTCTTCCCACAATACACCAGCACAACCACTCCAAGCCTTTGTTTCAAGGCCTAGTGCAATTCTGTATTTTGAGTCCCAGTCTCCAATTCTGGCTTTCCTCAAATTTTAGTATTGGTTCGATTGACACAAATTGTACAAATGAGAAACCCCTTCACTGAGAGCTGGGAGGAGATCCTAGATCAGACCATTCCCAGTGGTGGCCCCATCCCATGCCACTCCCAGCACTGCCTTCAGTTCCTTTGGAGTGGGGTTGACTACCATTTTGGACAAGTCATGTCACATGTCTAAGTCAGCTCAGTTTGCTCTGAGGGAAACCCAGAACAGTGCCTGTGTGAGAGGAGAGTGGGTTACTCTTGGCTGGTCTCAGAAAAGCGTGGTGGTCCCTGAGAGGGTTCTCCTGGGCAGGGAGCCCCATCCTTTGCTGTCACCCATTTCTTCTGCCAGTGGATTTAGATTTTCTTTTCCTCAGGCAGAATGTGGGATATGGAAGACAGGTGATCACAATTTAGCCTCCCTGAAATTCCTGATGCCGTCAGAGGACCCCTCTTCCTGACATCACATACCAG